AATTTTGGGTTCATGAAGCGAAGAATTTGTTTGCTGGTAATTTGAAAAATAAATTGCACTATCATGTGGAATTTCTTTTCTGTAGTTTACAGGATGCTATAAACTGCAGTGTTATCTCATTTGATGTTGAACAGGGGATCTGTTTTATTTTTAAAGTTGATTCATTCGAGATAGATTTTGCAGGAAACTTTAGTACACTGATGATCAGATGTTGAAAATTGAATATGGATGGTCGAGAAAAATGTTTAGGACTCTTCAAGGAATGCTGAACATTTAGCTTAGGGCCAGGCACAGTGGCTGTAATCTTCGCACTCTGGGAGACTGTGGTAGGTGGATTGCTTGAGCTCATGAGTTTGAGACCAACCTGAGCAAGAGGAAGACCCCCCCCCATCTCTAAAAAATAGCTGGGCATTATGGAGGGCGCCTATAGTCCCAGCTACTTGAGAGGCTGAGGCAGGAGGATCACTTGAGCCCAAAAGTTTGAGGTTGCTGTGAGCTATGACACCGCGGCACTTTACCCAGGGTAACAAGATGAGAGTCTGTCTCAGAGAAAAAAAAAAAAACAAACGAACATTTAGCTGATAAAATAGTGTAGGAAAAGGTAAATCTGAAAAATCAGATGTTTGTAAATGCCTGCAACTATTCATTATATGATTGACTGACTTTGAGGAGGTGAGGTTTGGGGTTTATAAAGGATTATTATACTGACATGTTCATTGCATGCAAGTGAGTTGTTCTGTTCTCTCAACTGCACTTAGGTTGCTGTGTGGTGGGGGTGGAGGGTCCTCAACCTCTGCTCTTTCCTTATCTATCCAGTATTGTTCCTGATTATACCTGATGTCTCAAACCTTGTAGAATCTTTAGCCTTACTGTGATGCTGGAGTTTTCCTTAACTTGGAACCTTTCAGGAGGAGTCAACCAAGGGAGAAAGTGGAGTGACTTTTTGCTTTTTTTCTCCCCTGCCCCATCAGAAGTTATTGCTAACTCAGGAGAAGGCAACATGGCTAAAGCAGTGGACTTGGCATTCTACCAGGGTATTTTGGGGCCTCCAACTAGGGATACCTCCTTCAAGCAGCAGGTGCGGCAGGACTAAAATTTCAGCAACTGCTTTGGGGATGCAGAGCCAGTTAGCGTTAATTGCCCAAGCTTACCATAGCCCTTTGGGATCTGAATGAGCTGTATGTTGCTAATTTGAGCTCCACTGTCACTTTATAGAGGCTTTTATAGCCCCAGAATAGCTTATAGCAGTCATTCCAGTTGACATCCTAGAATCTTGGTGACAGCCCTATTTGCTTTTTTCACAGAAAGGGATAACAGGTGTCTTCATTCTCATGAAGAATGGGATTTTCTGCTCTAGGAGCACCCTATCCTATCAGGGTGCCTTCCTGGGTATTTTATGTAGTTTCCATTCTTTTTTTTTGAGACAGAGCC